CGGTTGGAGCTCTGTTAACACTAGAATATTGCACACCTGGAAAAGGCTCTCAGCCAATCAGATTCGAGGACCAGAAAGAACTGTTGTATATACCTGTATATATATATTATTTTATTTTATTTTACTTTTTTTTGAGCACCAACTCAGCATATTATAATGATTTCTGAAGGACCTTGTGACACTATATGCTACAATCTATCTATCATCTGGGAATTGTATCTATTTCTAGTATAGTTTGACACATTTACAGACCGGTTATAAGCATTGATAGATTAGCTTTAGTGCACAGACAGGGTAATCTGCCAAGCATAGCGGTGACACAATTGCCACATACAGTACCGCTCAGGCCAAAGACAGGAGCCAAGTTAGCACAGACATATACAGTACATACATATATAACACTATGCCATGAAACCAGAAAACAAAACTTCTACACACTTACTCGTACTGCTAGACGAATGTTTACATTGGCACATTCAGCGATAATGAAGAACCTCATGCCAGCATGTAGGGTGAGGGGGTGCAAGGTGTTAAACAGTGTGAGAAAACACTGCATCACATACTTCACACAATATGAGTCTTTTCAACCCACTTTAGCAATGAACAACTCAAACCCTCTTTAATACAATATTAGGGGCTATGTGTCTGTAATTGAATTCTGTTCAGCTATGGCTATGCCATCCGTGTGCTTGTTCAGACCTGTTGGGTACCCGTTCCATTTATAGCTGATCTGGTCAGCAGCTGACGCTGGAGCCATCTGGCACTGCAAAACCTTTAGCCGTTGGGCTGTCCAACAACTTCGATCTGTTCCCTCCATCCATAAAATATTTTGTAATATCACTGCATACATGTTCAAGTATCACTGCTTTCTCTGGTATTTTCTCTTCTAACATTTCTTTCCCTCCCGAAATCTTCATATCGTCAAATTTTTATGGCTGTGTGCTCTCTCAATCCTGGTAATTTCAAATTCAGATTGTAATACTGCGTCAGAATGTGATAAAAGCATCTGCCAAATAAATAATACTACCATAATACTTACTGAATACCGCATAGCACCCAGTGAAGACTTTTTTTTACACTTTTACAAGTTAATACACTTATCTCACAAGGACACATTAACCTGTTGATAGAAGACAATAAAGACATTTATAATGCTACCGGACATCTGTATTTCAAATAAATGCTGTTTCTGAAAAAAAAGATTTAAAAAGAAATAAGCATTTCTTCTTATTATTATTATTATGTTTAAAACAGTTATGCTGCTTAATATTTTTATGAAAACCTTGATACACTACCATAGGAAAGTTCAGGGTAAGTAATTAATTATATAAATAATATATTAGTTGATTATATAAATAATTAATTAATAAATACTTTTAGTCAGCAAGGATGAAATAAATTGATCAAAAGTGTCAGTAAAGACATTTAGAATGTCACTAAACAAACAAACAAACAAACAAACGCTGTTAATCAACTTTCTAATCATCAAAGAATCCTGGGTAAGCAAATAAAAAAAATTATAATAATAAATATCAAGCAGCAAAAACTGTTTTCAAAATTGAAAATAACAAGAACCATTATTAATAACTGAGCACTAAAAATAATTGAGCAACAAATCAGCATGAAGGATCTGAAGGGATCATGTGTCACTGAAGACTGGAGTAATGCTGAAAATTCAGCTTTGCATTATATTAAAATAGAAAACAGTTATTATAAATTGCAATAATATTTCATAATATTACTGATATTACTATATTTTTCATTAAAAAAAATACATAAAAAATGCGACCTTGGTAAGCATTAAAGACTTCTTTCAAAAACATTTGTATGAAAATTTTGAACTATATATGGTATGCTATTCTGAACATGCCATGTCTGCTTTCTATCTTCTTGCCTCCTTCTTGTTTTTGTCTTGCCCAAACTCTCCACCCCTCCCTGTGCTGATTCCATTCACCACTCTGTGTTCTTCCCTCCATTTTTCTTCCCTTCCCTACAGAGCATGTGTATCTCGTATCTTGCTCTGTATATTAAGGAGATGAGCTCCCTTATTGAATCTACTTTTGTGTTAGCCCTTAACAAGCCCTTTCACAGTGAGATGCCATCCGTGTCACCCACCTTCCGGGCTGTGTGTTCGCGTACACACGTGTGTCCTTCATTTACATTACTTGTGTCGTTTTTCCTTCACAGTCAGGCCAGTGACACATTCATGACTGCAGTTATCTCCATCTGAGCACACCGAAGTGTCGAAGGCACTGTACTGCATTCATAACGTTCGGCTGTGTTGTTTTTCCTGTTTGGGAAAATAATGCAGCCGGATGTTTTTAATAGGTCATATGCTAGGATGTCTTAGTCTGCTTTCAAGGTTATCTCTAACTCGTGCCCAAAGGGAGTTTAGGTCTTGTCAGAATAACTGCAGGCTTTCTCCTACATTGCTTGGCCTGTGGCATGCGTTTGACACTATGAAAGCAAACCCTGACAGTATCACTACAAAAGGTCTATGCACATAAAATTAAGCTGACAGCAACCTGACAAGCAGGAGGCTGGATGTTTCCATGTTAAAAGGTAGGTGAGCGAGGATTTGCATGGCTTCTTTGTTTCCATAAATACTCTAACAGCCTCTTTAGTGTTTGAAGGAATAGTTGATCTGAAAATTAGAATGCTGTCAGCTATTACGCTGCTGGCCAAAAGTTTGAAATATTTAAATAATAAAAATGTTTTCAAGGCTGCATTTATTTGATCATAAATGCAGTAAAAACAGTAATATTGTGAAATGTTTTTACAATTTAAAATAACTGTTTACTTTTTGAATATATTTTAAAATGTAATTTATTCCTGTCATTACTGTAGTCTTCAGTGTCACATGATCCTTCAGAAATAATTCTAATATCCTGATTTGGTGCATAAGGGACATTTCTTTATTATTATCAATGTTGAAAACAGTTGTGCTGCTTAATACTTTCATGGAGACTATAATACATTACCATTCAAAAGTTTGATTAAAAAAAAAAATTATTATTTTTTAGTATGATTTTAAAAAATTATAATAAATTACTACTTTTATTCAGCAAGGATGCATTAAATTGATCAAAAGTGACAGTAAAGATTACATAAAATTATATGAAGTTTCAAAAAAATACACATCACATTATAAAATAATCCTAAAAAAAAGTATCACAGGTTCTTCAAAAATATTAAGCAACACTGGTTTTCAACATTGAAAATAATAAGAACCATTATTAATGAATGAGCACCAAATCAGCATATTAGAATAATTTCTGATATAATTTCATGTAATACTGAAGACTGGAGTAATGACTGCTGAAAATTCAGCTTTGCCATTACAGGAATAATTAATAATTTTAAATATATATTTATATATAAAACAGTAATTTTAAATTGTAATAATATTTCACAATAATACTGTTTTACTGTTTATTTGATCAAATGCAAACTACTTGTTGTACAAGTTGTACAAACTACTTATGACATTTTTAAAGTGGTTTTTGGAGCTCAAAAGTATGTAAGGAAAAGTCATACGGTTGTGTAACAACACGAGGGGGAGTAAACAATGACAGTAATTTCATTTTTGGGTGAAATACATTTTTAAGGTCACCATGCAACTTCTTGAGGAAAAGCAGCGGCATTAAAATGCTGACAGCTTAGTGCAACATGCCCGGCTTGACATTTGAAAGAAATGACACAGTTCTATGGATTAGTGCAGCTGCAACATTAGTCCACGCTGTCCATTATGTAGGATTTATGTTAAACAAACTCAAACATATGCTAATTCTGTGGTTCTTTGGTCTTGCTGAGAATCTAGCGCTGCTGTTTTGCTGGCGTGTCAATTTACAACACCATTAATAAGCATTCAGAAGTATCTTGTAAATTACGACTCTGCAAACTCAGTTTCCCTACACAGCAGAATGGATGCTGCATGGTTCACTGCGAAAGAAAGTCCTTTTCATAATAAAGTTAGAAGAATGGTTTGGCATGTAAGGAAGTCACATTAAACAACAGTTAAACAACAGTCACATGTGTGATTTTAATTTGCATCCATTAAACAACCAAAAGTCAAAAAGTCTAGACACACTGGACTGAATGTATGTTTCTCATGACCTTAGCTTAAAAATTAGGTTTGTAGATTACAAATTGTTCCAACAATTGAATAAGTTACAAAATATGTTCAATTAATTGTTTTATTATTATTATTATTATTATTATTATTTACATTTGCATATTATAACTTTTAATATACAGTACATTGGTCAAATGTTTGGAAAAATCTTTTTTTTTTTTCAAGATTATTTATTTATTTATTTGTGAAAGAAGTCCTTATTCTCAACAAGGCTGCATTTATTTGATAAAAAATACAGTAAAAAAGCAATAAACGAGTAGTAAAGTAATAAAGTAATAAAACAATGTAAAAAAAAACTATTATAATATTGTCAGGCCTGTGTTGTGTTTTGTTCCCCATGTGCTCCCTGTGTCCCAGTGTTTAGCCCTTTTTTGGTTAATTTCCTGTCCTGATTATTTCATTTAGTTCATTAGTTTCAACCTGTGTTTGCTGATTGGATTTCAGGTGCGTTTAATTTACTCCCTTGTTAGGTCTGGTATTTAAAGTGTAGTCTGTCTAATGTTTCTTTGTTGAGTCTGAATGTCTCCACTGTGTGTTTTCCTGGTTCAATGTTCAAGAATAAAAGTATGCATCATCGTAAATATTCCCCTCCGTCTCCTCGTTCCTCCCCCGAGTGAGCGTGACAGAAGACTCGACCCCAAAACGATGACTGCAGCTGAGGACGCGCTGTGGGGTTTGCGGCAGGGCGGTCTGAGGTTGGAGCGATATGTGGAGGGGTTCCTCGAGCTCTCTAACTGGGTGAGATGGCACGACGCAGCTCTAGGTGCGTGCTTCCTGCTTGGGTTTGGATGACAAGATAATCCGCTGCGATCTTCAGACGGGTGATTTTCCTTTGATCGAGCTGATTAATCTCATGCTGTTCTTAAATGGTTCAGATTTGGAAGTTGAGGAAGTAAAGAGACTTCCCAAGCCTCGTCATCCAACTCCCGCAGGAACGCGCCGCATCTCCCCAGCTCACCCCACGCCGAGAACCTCCACATACCTCTCCAACGGCTCCTACCGCCTGCCTAACCCCAAATTCCCCGCGGTCCTCCGAAGCTCCACCATGGTCCTCAGCCCAGGAGCCCTGGCCGCTCGGAAGTCAAGACGGCCGGCCTCTCAACAGATAAGCTCGCCGGCCGCACCGATGTCAAACCCACCGGCCGCGACTCACTCAAGCCCGCCGGCCGCTCCAAAGATAAGCCTGCCGGCCGCGCCTTTGTCAAGCCCGCTGGCCACTGCGAAGTCAAGCCCGTCGGCCGCGGCTCTCTCAAGCCCGCCGGTCACCATTGACGCAAGCCCGCCGGTCACCGCAACGACAAGCCCGACGCCTGCCCAGTTCCCCCGTAACCTAAGGAGGAGGATGAAGAGAAAAGGACTGTTCTCTGCCTTAATCCTAGCCCCAGAGCTCGCTCCAGTGTCGGCTCCAGCCCCAGAGCTCGCTCCAGTGTCGTGTTGTGTTTTGTTCCCCATGTGCTCCCTGTGTCCCAGTGTTTAGCCCTTTTTTGGTTAATTTCCTGTCCTGATTATTTCATTTAGTTCATTAGTTTCCACATGTGTTTGTTGATTGGATTTCAGGTGCGTTTAATTTACTCCCTTGTTAGGTCTGGTATTTAAAGTGTAGTCTGTCTAATGTTTCTTTGTTGAGTCTGAACGTCGTTACCTGTCTCCACTGTGTGTTTTCCTGGTACAATGTTAAAGAATAAAAGTATGCATCATCGTAAATTCCCCTCCGTCTCCTCGTTCCTCGCTCCTCCCCCGAGTGAGCGTGACAAATATCTATTGTAATATATTTTAAAATGTAATTTATTCCTGTGATGCTGATTTGGTGCTCAAAAACATTTCTTATTATCAATATTGTAAGCATTGCTTTTGTTGTTTAATATGTACACTACGATACAATACCTTTCAAAAGTTTGGGGTAAGTAAGATTTATTTATTTTATTATTTTATTTTATTTTAAGAAATGAATAATGTGACACTGAAGTAATGGTTACTGAAAACTCACATGGATATTAAAATAGAACTTTAATAAATAAAACTTTTTTATTATTATTTTAATAATATTTCACAATACTGTTTTTACTGCATTTGTGATAAAATAAATGCAGCCTTTGAATAATAAATGAGTGTAAGATATGAGACTTCTTACAAAATCACGAATGAATCAATAAATAAATATATTCAAACATTTGATCAGTAGTGTATAATACTGACAATAATGTGCGTGTGTGAGATGCATAAACAAATACAAGGCCATGTGAGCTACTATTCTATACCTGTTCTATACCTTACAGTCTGTGTTTTGCTCCAAGGGCAACATATGAGATATGAGCATCCCTGTATGAACACAGGTGGCCATTTTCATTATGGATGCTTTGTGAATGTCCATCACCATGACAGGACTGACGGTGTTCAACAATCTAATTAGCATTTTACCTGTCTATGGTCTCGTCTCACATTTCACATTAAATGCAAAGCAGTGATTAATAGCAAAGCAAAACTGTGAGGACACCTCTAGCTTCGAGTGGAATATGAATTACAGACCTCTCCGGTTTAATTCGGTGTGCCTGTTATCTTGCTCAAATGAATTTCAAATTATTGTCAAAAATGCTGTCAACTTAAAACAAACACGCCTGCAGTAGCAGGTAACATTTTGCTTGCGTGTTGGGTGGCATAATCATATTTAGAACGATGTTGTCGGGAACATTTTTTTAGGTTCTCATTTTGAATAAATCCCAGGAGTGCCTTGCATTTCTGAAGCATTTTTCGAGGTACTGAACTGCTTGTTTTGTGGATTTGTGGACAGGCTTTAAGTACTTTGAAGACTTCAGAACTGAATAATGCAGGTCTGCAGGAGAGCGGTGGATATGCACAGGGTTTCTCTCCGCCTGTCTGTGATGTTACAGAAACACTAAACCACCGTTAGACTCATCAAAGACCGGCTGCCTGCAGTTTCAACTACAGGCGAGCAACTGGACCTCAAGATTAATATTATTTGACACAATATTTGCAACTCGAGGGGGCTTAAACAATAATTTCCACAGTCTGTAGTCTGGAGTAATTTCATCTCACACATATGTAATTCTGCACAAAACACACTGCTTTGTTCTAAAACCTAGTGTGCTGCTTACGGATGCAGCTTTTTAAGACATCACAGGCTCGTCTCCCGGCATGAAGCTAGGGAACGTAATTATGCCGCCTCCTGAGACACCTTGTTTTGGTCAAATTCTAAGGCAGCCTTACATGTATCCTTCAAGTAGAAATTATTTTTTATAATGCACTGTGATAAGTCAGTGGAAAGAAAAAAAAAAAAAAATCCAAGATGACAGATGAATAAAAGAGAAATGTTGATTGCAAGTGTACTCATAATTATGTGTTTAACAGTACTGATAAAAATAAATCATAAAAAAATGATTAAATAATCTAGGATTAAAAACTATGACAATTTTATTAAAAAAATTGTGTGTCATTTCTATTTATGGTTATTAAAGTATCACATCTTCCCTCTTGTATTCCAAATCAGTCACATAAGAGGTTTCATAACCGTTACAATGTTGCCTTAGAAGGCAGCTGCCTATGTAGGCAGTTCACTAGGTTTTGAAGCATTTCTAATATCTGCAGAAATGTACAGATGCTGCCAATAGGGTTTAAAATCTTATATCACAGTATGAGAAATTTTAAAAGAATAGTTCATCCAAAAATAGAAATTCTTTCATCATTTACTCTCTCTCATGTCATTTTATTTAAGAAAAAAACTGGTAATCCATTTAATTAAATCACTACTTAAATAAATAGTTCACCCCCAAAAATGAAAATCTGCATATTTTTTAAGAAACAAACTCATCTACATCTTGGATGACCTGATGGTGAGTAAATTTTCAGGCCATCCAAAATATAGATGAGTTTGTTTTTCAATGGATCAGATTTGGAGAAATTCAGCATTACATCACTTGCTCAGCAATGGATCCTCTGCAGTGAATGGGTGCCGTCAGAATGAGAGCCAAACAGCTGATAAAAACATCACAATAAGTAATCCACACAACTCCAGTCCATCAGTTAATGCAGTGGTTCCCAAACGTTTTTCTTCCACGGCCCCCAGTTTGGGAACCACTGAGTTAATGTCTTATGTAAGAAACAAATCCATCATTAAGGCGTTTTAACTTTAAACCGTCACTTCTGACCAAAGTAGGAGTCCATATAATCTATAATAATACTTCCTCTAGTGAATCTTGCTCTCATATTAAAATCCACCAACATATTTGTTTAGAACTTTAAAAACTGTTTAGAAAGATTAAGACAGTTTTCGCTTGTAAACAAAGCTTGATCTGTGCATATTCCTCTCATATTTCTCGCAGGAAAAAGCAATATTATAGATAGACAGCTCAGATTTTAGCCAGAAGCAACAGTTTGAAGTTAAAAACATCTTAATGATATATTAGTTTTTTTACAAACATGCAGCTTTTCGCGTCACTAGATGTTAATTTATGGACTGGAGTCATGTGGATTACTTGTGGATTATTGTGACGTTTTTATAAGATGTTTGGACTCTCATTCTGACGGCACCCATTCACTGCAGAGGATCCATTGGTGAGCAAGTAATGTAATGTAAATTTCCCCAAATCTGTTCTGATGAAGAAACAAACTCAACTACATCTTGGATGGCCTGAGGGTGAACACATTCTCAGCAAATTTTCATTTTTGGATGAACTATTCCTTTAAATGTAATCATATTCAGAACAGAACCGGAGTGAAAAATATAAATTTAAAACAAACAAATTATAGTGGCATTCATTATTAACATAATGTATTATAAACACCAAGCCTAAACTAATTTATTTAAAGCAATACTGATACTACCAGCGTTTGGGAAATAAGTTATACAAAGAAACATCTGGAAATATTCTGAAAAATACACTAAGTTCTTACTCAGCTGTATAAAGTTTGGGATGCTTCCCTTCTATTTTCATATGACTCCATGTGTTTTCTTCTCTCACCTGTACATAGCAAAGCAGTTATATGCAACACAGCTACAAAGATATTAACCACACTAATAATACTATGATGAAATCTCATCTGGTATACAGCTGCCGCATATCACAGTGTGTAGAGTTAAACATACTCATGAGTTGCGTTGGCCCACACTCATGTTGACAGGATGAGTTACATCCTAAATAAAGAGTAACTCATGTGTGCTTCCCTTCAGTTCACTAGAAGGGAGACAGTGCAGGAAGAAAAGCCATGAGACAGCATTTCTTTCAGTTAATATAGCTCTCTCTCTCTCTCTGCACTCCCAGAATCCTCTCTACCTATCCGCTGCCTCAATATTTGCCCATTAAAAGGCAGAGCCTGAGTTTCTGGTGAATAATTTAAGGCTGCTGCTGGTCTCTGGTCGGAGCACAGAAGCCTGCTGATCAGAGAGTCTTAAATGAGTTTTGACAGCAGCTGATGGGAGTGAAAGGGCACTGAAAAAAAGCCACCTCTTTAAATAAACTATTTTAATGAGGGGGGTTCTGTCAGTGGACCACCCAATCTGAGGAATATTCACAAAATCTGTCAAGGACATGTCCAGCTCTGCCTTTTTTTATGCTCAAGGGCAAGACATTAGCTATGAGCATTCATGTACTGTAACTATGATCACAGGTGGATATTTTCATTATGGATGCATGTGAATGTCCATAATCACAGACAGGCATGACACACAACAATGGTTATATCTTACTTGTCTATGATCTCGTCCCACATATCATATCCAAGGCAATGATTAATAGTAGAGCAAAACTGTAAGGACACCTCTGCCTTCGAGACTCATTTTAACTGAAAATTGAAAGAAAGAAGATTGAAATACATTGCGCTTAAAGAAAATGCAACTCCTTTTAGGACCATTAAGATTCTCATTACTGTACTTTTGAACTGCAGTGTGTATTGAACAATTTTTTTTCCCACTAAGGATGCATTCAATATAACAACAACAACAACAACAACAACAACAACAACAACAACAACAACAACAACAACAACAACAACAACAATAACAACAATAACAACAACAACAACAACAACAACAACAACAACAACAACAACAACAACAACAACAACAACAACAACAACAACAACAACAACAACAACAACAACAACAACAACAACAACAACAACAACAACAATAATAATAATAATATTTGCTGTTCTTTTGAACTTTCTAATCATCAAATACCCCTGAAAAAAGTGGGAAAAAAAATCATGTTTCCCACAAATGTGTGTGTTAAAAACATAGACAATAAAAAAAAATTTTTTTGAGCATGAAATCAACATATTAGCATGACTTCTGAAGGATCACGTGACACTGAAGACTGGAGTAATGATGGCGAAAATTCAGCTTTGCATCACAGGAATAAATACAATTTTAATGTATTAAAATAGAAAACATTTATTTTAAAATGTAATAATATTTTACAGACCCCAAACTATACATACATTTTAAACAAGCAAAAAATTTAATAAAAAAAATAAAAATAAAATAAATATAAACATAATACATTTAAATTGAGAAGTATCTATTCATTCTATATTTGTATAATAATAATAATAATCATAACAATAACAAAAACAACTCTGCTTAACATAAAGGAAAATAATGATATTTAAATTTAAAGTATTAATCAATTTACAGTAGAAAAAACTCTTACCTAACGATAATCTCTGAGAACAACAAGAATTATTACTGCCTTACGGTATTGAGAATTTGGGTGGAGAAAATGTGCTTAACGGTCATAAAGATAATGTCTCACTTCAAAAATCCTAATGGTCTTAAAATGGGCTTCTGTCTCTTTATGCAAACTATAATTTCGTTTTTTTGCTAAATGTGACCTGGACAAGTTCTCATCAGTCTCACCCATCTATCTCAGAGCACAATCTGTCTGGAACACAATTACAGAGCAGAAAGTCATTTATGTTGGCATAGAAACACGCGCAGTCAGTTAGGTTGCGCGCACACAAATTCTTAAAATTCAGAAGGACATTTTCTTACACATTTCCTCACTCACTCACACTAGCAGATTGGTGGAGGAAGGTTTGGACTTGGGGCTCAGTGGCATACTAGCTGTGCCACTCATATTCCTACCTGCCTAATGAGTCTCTCTCTCTCTCTGTCTCGCTCTCCAGGAATAACCAGTGCAGGGCCCCGCTCTCCATCTCAGGGGCATGCTACTGTTTTACTCATGAGCAGACTCGTAAACATAACGATTAAATGATCTGGGCTGATTAACTAGAAATCTGGAGACCAGGGGAGTGTCTGTTCCGGTACTTGCTAGCGATATTAGCGTGCACGAAAATATCAAATAATAATCTGAGGGTTAATGCAACAGATGCATGAGCTAAATAGGAGGCAGACAGTGACTTATGACAGTCTTGCTACACCAGGTGCCGCACGTCTCTCAGCATATCAAGTATATCAAAATGTGAATAACAACAAAGCTGACTTTTTATAGTTAGTTATGGTCGCCCACTCATTCAGATCCGGAGAATGCATTAGTTTAAGCATTCCCTGTAGCATTTTTAGAAGGAATGGAAATCTTCTGAACATACGAAACTCTTGTTTGTTGTCGGGGGAGACTGTGGCTTTGAACAGCTCTCTCTATCTCTTTCTACATGTGTGAGTCATCAGGGTTCCAGAGAAGATGATCCCCTGACACTGTCACACAGAACCTTCTCCGTCTCAGATATTTATTTTGGCAAATGGAACAAGCACCGTCTCGGGTAGTCACAGCGTAATATCAAGTAGATTTTAAAGCTAAAAATAACAATCACGGGTGCCATGGATGTGTTCGATGTGTCGCTTTTGGAATTTAAAATATGATAGCAGTATGTTTCACCAAACAAACTAAAATGAGCATTATTATTATTAATAATAATAATAATAAACAGTGATAGACCAGTATAACCACAAGGCGTATTAATTGGCTGATATTTGTTATTAGTGTTATAGTAGTGTTACATATAATAGTAAATGATAATATTATTAAAAAATAAAATATAATAAAAGAAAAATAGAATGTATAAATGTAAAATACTACTACTACTACTACTAATAATAATAATAATTCTTATTATTATAGGTTACAAAATCAATTATTAATAATAAATAATATAATTAAAATATAATAAATAAAATATTATATAAATGTATAATAATAATAACAATAATATTTCTTATTATAAGTTACAAAATCAGTTATTAACAATAAATAATATAATTAAAATACAATTAAATAAAAATAAAAAATAAATAAAATATTATATAAAATGTAAAAAAAATAAAAATAAATAGATAATCAGAAGCTGTCATTATTTAAAAAATACTGCACAAGTTCCTAAAATACAGTGATGGAATATTAAACAATATTGTTGTAATGAGAATATATATCAATTACTGGTAACACTTTACAATAAGGTTTCATTTGTTAAAATTAACATTATTGTTCATTTCAACAAGTAATAATACATTTTTAATATCAAAGAAAAAGTTGTATCTGTTAACACTGCACTAAATGAACAAAAATTAATAAATACCGTAAAAATAAATTGCTTATTTTTAGTTCATGTTTGCTAATGCATTAACTAATGTAAACAAAAGACACCTTATTGTAAAGAGGTACCAAATTAATTACAGTAATGAGATGCTAATGACTGAATGCATTGTGAGAATAAGAATTTTTGGGGAAATGTGCTTAATGTAAATACAATAGTTTTAACTTTAAAATATATAGATACGTTTTTTTTTTGATTAACATTTTCCATAGATCTTGATTAAACCAGTTAAGAAAAGAAGCATTCAGAAACTGCATTTTACCATGCATGATATGATATGTCATATTAATTGAAGGAAGAAGCGATACTACCCCTTGTTATGGCTCAGTGATGCTGCCTGCAGGGATCTAGTCCTTTTAACCATGAAATATTTACCAGAGGAACTACTTAACCACAGGAAACCACTGCAAACACGATGATGACCTAGACTAGTCCTCTCTGAATGATCTATATTGAATAATGCATCGCCATTACGCAATGATATCAGTTGCAATTATTCTAGTCAGAGTCAGACACAATTAGAGTGAACCTGAGCAGAATGAGGCTGCGCTTGTAGCAGCTCTACCGGGTAATGTCAGACTGATGGCCTCCAAGATCAAAATGCTGTGACTGGGTGTGCGTCATATGAAATATGCATGCCCCAAAAACATCTGTAAGACACGCATATTCTTTGTATATATTTTTGTATGCAATATATATATATATATATATATATATATATATATATTTAGTACCAATGTATTTTTGGATTATTTTGAAAATGTATTTAAAAATATATATATATTTTATTTTTTATTTTTTTTTGCTGTATGGGTCAAGTCACACATTTCACAGGAGAGTTGGAGAATACAGTGAAAAGGAAGGAAAGGAAGAATAACTCCAGCTCAAATGCGCATTTTAATCATTGCTAATCAATTGGAGCAAAAATAACCGCTATAAAGCAGTACGCAGTGTACCTATAGAAAATGCTGATAATCCCCATCTATTATGCTAACAGAACTCTCCGCACAGCCCTGCTGAGGTAGATTGGAACAGGGTAATTACCAACATTTAAACTGTGGAAATCTTTAGAGCTATCATCATAATCTTTGTTTATCATGAACAACATTTTATATGCAAAATAATCACCCCAATTCCATTCGCTAATTAGGTCAATACATTGGATCCTTGGGGACAGTTCTAATCAGCCATCCTGCAGGCTGTTTTGAGAAGATTAGCAAAGCTAATAGCTACATTAACTTCAGGCTAAAACCAAATTCACTGTGCTGATAAGTGATAACTCAGTATAAAATGTGGAACATATATACTGTATATATATAGTGGGTATAGAAAATAATCACTCCCCTTTAAAATAATCACATTTTGTTGCTTTGCAGCCTGAAATGAAGACGGACACTCAGTATTTACTCTGTGTATTTACTCACAGCTGTATTTACTCAGTGCAACTTATAACATCCATCCACTCTTCTTTGCAGAAAGTTCAGTCTGCAGGACTGCAGTCTTCAAGTCATTCCACAGATTTTCAATAGGGTTTAAGTCCGGGCTCTGACTGGGCCATGCAAAGACATTCACCTTTTTCATCTTCAACCACTGTGTGCTCAGTTTTGCTGTGTGCTTTGGTCATTGTCATGTTGGAAGGTAAACCTTCTTCCCATTGACAACTTTCTGGCAGAGGGCAGCAGATTTTCCTCAAGAATTTGACTGTATTTTGCCTCATCCATTTTATCTTCTATCCTGATAAGTGCTCCAGTCCCTGCTGCAGAGAAAACCCCCCATAACAGGATATCACCACCTCCATGCTTTACTGTAGGAATGCTGTTATTTGGATGGTGAGCTGTATTGGATTTCTGCCAGACATATCGTTTGGTGTTGAGGCCAAATAATTCAATTTTAGTCTCATCTGCCTCAGAATCTTCAAGGTGTGTTTTGGCAAAGCTCAGTCATGACTGCATGTGGCCTTTATTGAGGAGTGTTTTTTTTTTCTTGCAACCCTTCCATACAAGCCACATTTGTGGAGAATTTGTGCATGCACACAATTGTCCTAAATTCCTGCAACTGCTTCAGAGTTGCTGTAGGCTAGGGCTGGGCGATGTGTCAAAAATATCTTATCGATAATCGCCTTTAAAAATATTGCGATATCCGATAATATTGTCTACCTACGATATCCGATAATATTGTCTACCTAAGCCCCACCTCCACCACGCGCCCCGCCCCGCCCCGCCGAGACAACATTGCTGACATGCACCATAAACACACACCA